GTATGCTTGGAGGGGGATGTGGCACATCACACATCACTACCAAGCATAACTTTTTGTACTTGCACTACCACATAATTGATCTATTGCAGTGGTTAAGGCGCAACGGTTTCAACTGTTGCGTTAGATATCTATCGTAACGGTTTGCAGTGCCTAATACAACATTTAATGAAAAACGTTGCCATAGGCCAAATAATTGTTCCTGGGCTTAATAATTGTTCGTGGGTTTGAGAGTTAAGTTTGTAAAGCCCATGGTCTGACCGCTTAAACGAAATCTCTCTCTCTCTCTCTCAAATGAAATCCCTAAAATCGTTGCCAAAATTTTTCGCTCCCTAAAATCGTTGTGGCCAAGATCATCCGGTTTTTGAGCTTTCTAGGGTTTACTCTTTCATTGTCAATCTCTTCGCCGTCTGATTTCGTCGTCGAGCTCGTAGCTAATCTCGTCGTCGAGCTGCTGGTCTCGTCTCCGATCTCAACTCCGATTTCGTCGTCGAGCTCGAAGCTAATCCGTCTCCAATCTTGTTCGTGTCTTCTTCTTCATTGGTCTCATCGCTATCACTCTCCTTTGGACTCTCAGGTACTCAATTCCTTTCATTTCCGATTTCTACAGTTTCTTCCCCTTTCTATTTTTAGAAATCTCTTCTTCACTTCTTAGGTGTTGTGGATAATCTTGATTGCTACATTAATCGATCTGTAGCTCTAGGTCGATCCCTGAGGTTAGATTCCTCAACATATAATCTTGATTGCTACATTAATCGATCTGTAGCTCTAGGTCGATCCCTGAGGTTAGATTCCTCAACATGAAATCTATTTCAAGATTTATTTGTTGTCTCTTGGAAGCATGTTTTATTTTACTTGTTAATTTGTGATTGTGAACTCACTGATGTCTTGATGTGTGAAAATCAGAAATAATGTGTGAAACTAGTTATCTCCATTGATGATTTTTTTGGTGTGAATGAATGCGTTTATTTTTCTTTCACTGGTTTCAAGCTGATATATTGGGTTTAATGCTACTAGAATTTGGATGTAATTTAAAGTGGAGAAGTGCCAGATAAATTTTTTTGTGGCGAGCATCTCTGTTGTCAGTCATGTAAATTTAACCACTGAATATTTTGCATATATACACTCACAGAAATTTGTTGTCAGTCATGTAAATTTGTAGTGGAGGAAAATTAGCTGACAAGGAATCGAGGAAGAATTCGATTTGACAGGTAAGTGAAACCAGAATTCTCGTTATCATATTCATGGGCATGAGAATAAAAATAAATGATGCACACAGGCAAGGAACTGACCTATGCATAAACTAATGTTTTGAAGAAACAATTTAGGATTTATCTGAAATTTTATGCAATTGTTTTGTTGCTATGTTTTAGATTCATAAATCTGTGGTTTCTATTAGGCTGGGATTGAAATCAACCTGAGTTAATTTGAGCTTGAAGTTGACTTATTTTATATTAAGCTTAGGATGAGCTGTTTGTTTGTTTGATTTTCTTTAATATTAGATGTTCAGTTTTTGTAATAATTATTGCTTATAAATTAAAGAATGTTATTGATTCACACAAATATTATAAGCTTATACACATGATGTCTTAGGTACTCAGTGACATCAATCTCAATTTTGTGTAGGGTTTCTAAGCTAGTGGAGAACATGGTTTCTGACTTGGGCAATGGAGATTATCCTAGTTTGACTGAGAATTGCTTGTTTACCTGTTAATCAATCCTTTTCTAGTTAAAATTCGAGATTAGTGACTTGTAGCACTTGACAAATAGTGATATTAGCACTTTTCATAATGCATGAAGAGAAGTCTAGGTATCTTCTTACTCAATATAAGATGTAGGACTGATTCAAGCTGGAAAATTTTTATCAACATGAGGTTCAAGCTTTAGCTAGATTATTAAGTGACATGCCAAATGACATATGAACTGAACATTGAACGAACTATTTAAGATAGCTTGTTCCTTAACGCGTGTTGTCACCATCAGGTGAGAGAGTGCTCATCCTGTCACTGATATCTTACTAAAGGTTTTCTAAACCCAAATTTTGTTGAGAGATTTATATATAAAATAAGAGGGCTCAATCAATTGTTATTAAGGCTTGACTGAGACACCTTGAACTCTCAAAGATTTACCGAGCTATTAAACCTCAGGTTGTGTCCTTTCTCTTCCATTCGTCCTTTTATCATTTTCCTTGAAAATATAGATATTTCCAGTCTTTCACTTCATTGCCTTTTAGTTCTTTGACTTTACATTGTTGCAGAAAAGCAATAAGTTTCTCGCTCATTACCTTTTCTTTCTTCCACTCTCTGGAACAAGACAGAGAGGGAGAGGAATTTAGACAGCTTCTCATACTAAATATTCTAGCCACTAATAGTGGTAGATTCTTAATTAGTTCTCAAACACTTGAATTATTTAACTTTTTGGCGAGTAAGCTTGCTGGAAAAGTTGGAAGTCATTGTGCTAGTTCTTTGTCCTATTGTATGCATTTGTAATATTTAAACCAATATCGTTTTGTTGTTGCTTCTTCCAATTTATGTTTATCCTTAGGTTTGCTCAAATATATGCATGACATCATCCGATAATCTGTATTGGTCACTTCTCTCCCTCTCTCCCTCTCTTCTCCCTCGTTCTCAACTTCTATAACATGTTTATTGTGAAGATTTTAACTTCTGATTCCTATATTGTTCTCTTTGGATGGACTTAAGAAATATTCAAGGTGTTAATTTGGGTGATTACTAGGATTTATCTGGCACCCAACTTTCCGTTCAAAAGGTTCAAATATCTCATGATCATGGGCATAGGGGGCTTAGTGACAGTGAAAGAACTCTGAAAACGGTATCATCAGGAGTAGGATATCAAAATGGTTTTGTTGAGGTAAGTCATGTTTGATGTAGTTGTCGTGATCTTCTTTTTTTTTGTTTGTAGCTCCAGAGACCTATATATTAATTTACTAACATTGTTTTCAACTTTTAGCTTAAAGGTATATGGGCCAAGCCAAACAGTGAAAATTTCACGCAGTGCATTGGCCATGTGGATCACCAAAAAAGTAAGCTTTCTAGATTGTCGGATTCTTCTTTTTTCCCATGAAATTCAAGGTTTGGATTTTTTGCAGAGCTGGATGCTAAGACCAATCGTTACCTACTGATAAATGCGAATGAGGGCTTAAATCAGATGAGATTTGGGGTGTGACTTGTATCTTTAGATTTATATAATCTGCAAGTAAAATGCTATAACACAGTAGCTGATAAATCATATTTCTGAATACAGATTTGTGATATGGTTGTCGTTGCTGTAGGCTGTCTAAAAATCACAATGGATAGCTAATCCCTATCAAGCCCTGATAATGGAAGTTACAATTTCATTAAGACCTTAAAGGATGAGGTTCACATAGTTGAAAAACTGCCAGTTTCACACGAGAAAATTGAACATTTTACAAAGGCCCCTGTATCCTGGTCTAAGGTAAAAACCAATACTGATCACTGAAAGATGTATTCTGTTTTTACTTGATATTTTATATCCTGGTCTAAGGTAAAAACCAATACTGATCACTGAAAGATGTATTCTGTTTTTACTTGATATTTTATGTATTCATGATACTTTAAATCTCTATCTTCAGGTCTATTACTATAAATCAGATGTTCTCCCACTTTTGAAACAGCACAAGGTTACGTACTTCACCCATACAGACTCCCGACTGGCGAACAATGGACTTCCAACATCTGTTCAGAAGCTGAGATGTCATGTAAACTACAGAGCATTGAAATATTCAGCCTCAATTCAAGAGCTGGGTGCCACCTTAATCTCAAGGATGCGCCAAGGTGGAAGCCCTTATATTGCTCTTCATTTACGGTAAGGTCTTCTTTCATATAAATGCAGTTTTCCAGTTCTCTTTAAACATGATTATATCTTCTAATTACCTGTGCATCATCTTTCAATTGTCTTCTTTCTGATTTTTCATGCTGTATCTTTCTTCTTTTCTCTTTCTTTCGTGTTTGATAGCATTTGGTGTGGGCATTGGGAGAGGGGAAGGCAATTATTATTCTATACTCAATGCTGAGACTTAGACGCAGACCCATTAGGACTTCTTGTTTCTGTTCTTCTTGTGATCCTTTCTAGATATTACTTTTAATCCGTTTCCTTTTTTAGTACCATGATACCTTGTATCCCTTTGTTCAAACAGACATATATTTGCTCTAGTAACGGCCTTTGTGATATAGAGCATTGATTTCCTGGGTATCTTGGCAAGTAAAGTCTTCGAGTTAATTGTAGTCTAGTTGCGATACCACCATGCTTCCAACTAAATAGATTAATTAAATGAAAGATGAGAACTGTGAATAAAATAGGACGATTAAGATGGTAAAAAAAAAGAAAACTTTGCAGAAGTATCTGTTGATTCAAGCAGTCATGAAAGGTGATAGATTTACTTCTGTAATGTTCCACCATTTTGTTTGTAAAGTTGTTTACGCAAGGCTAGTTGAAATGCTACAGATATGTGCAAGTTAACCCTCTTACCAGGCTATGATTTCCGTACTTATACACAACGTATTAAGTTCATCGTGAGTAGTATATAGGTGAGTGTTTTGATTCCAAATAGCAGACTCAAAGTGGCACTCAAGCAGAGTGCCTCCCCATTTCCCTCTCCATTTTTGGCCTTAAGGTCGCCAGTTTCCGGGAACGCAGGCTGAATGCAAATAGGGAGGGATGTATGTGTATACTGGTCTGCCAAACCCATCGTATGGTATTTCTTTAGTTCAAAGGAACCTTTTTGAAAGCTCTTGACTCTTTCATCGATGTGGTTTCGATGTTTCAATCCAGCAACCGAACCACTCTCCAAGAACAAAACCATCTGGGTCTTGGGGTCTACGCATGGTTCTCAAAATGGTTTATCATTTAAGCCCTGTTTTGATATGAGCTTCATGATCTTAATGAGGCTAGTTGTTACTCCAGAAACGTAACTAGAAATTCAACTAATGAAAACACGAGAAAAGGGAGAAACACATGTTTTTCCTGCCCTCCTGCTTGGCTTTTCTATTTTTTTCTTTTTGTATGGAGCAAAATTGTAGGTTTTGGACAAGGTCAAATAAAAACATTAATTTGAGAACTGGGAAGTAGGCATTAGTTCCCAAGAGAAGCCCAAGAGCTTGTGGGAGGAGCTGGCAGTAAGTTATTAGTATATATAGACATTTCAGTAGGTCTGATATTGCTTTTTTTTCCTAGTAATGGTTAGTTTAAAAAAATTACCTTTTCAGTTTGTTGCTAACATGATATTTGATACGTTTCTTTATTTTTTGCAGGGGATATAAAGACTTAAATAGGAGAATGCTGTCAAAATAGCTTTGATATATGAATCTTTTGGAACAGACTTGTACATGTGAATTGATCATATTTTGATGGGTTGAAGTTGTCTTGTAACTACTTATTTTTGAATGATGGGCTTAAAACATATGAATGCTTCATTATTTTTCATTTTGATGATATCTTAATGTAGTGTGTTCTTATTCCATTTTTATTTTGGTTTACGTAATTGTGTTTGCTTATTGGTCAAATTTCTTGAAAAGTGCTGCTATAGCCCTATAAAACTGTTGCTGTAGTCTTATAAAACTGTTGCCATAGCAAAGCAAAACATCACATTAGCTACAAAACAACCGTTGCCTTTGGTCTCTGATTTTGGAAAAACCGCTGCCCTTGTGTACGAAACCGCGACATTAGGTATTTGCAATAACTGTTGCCTTTGTGTATGGAACCGCTACATTAGGCATCAGTAAACCGCTACAAAAAACGTTGCATTTTGTGAAAAACGTTGCGTTAGCCTTGTTTTAGAAACCGTTGTGTTAGGTTTTGCAACCGCTGCCTTATGTCTAGGGCAACGGCAGCAATGAAGACAGTTTGATAACCGCTGCGCTTGAGCAATTGCAACGGTTTAGGATGTCGATTTACAAAACATTATAGTTTGGTATTTGCCTATTGACAAAAACTTTAAACCCGTATAATTGTGATTAGTCGATCGATTAACAAAATCTGTAGTTGTGATTTGCCAAATTAATTAAACTCAAACTTGGCTAGCTAGTAGGCAAAAGTGTACTGTGGACATTTACAGTTGTATCCAAATCTTATACCCCTCTGTAATAACAAGTTTCCAAACGCATCATTGGCATTAGAGGTATTAATAACAAGTTAAACCAAACAATTATGAAAAAAATTAACTCATTATAATCTCTTGGATTATTATGCCCAGGATTATTAGTCCTGGGATAAAACATGCCCTAATCCAAGCATGACTATTATATATTCTTTCTCCAAATAAGCCATATGAATATGTGTTATGGAATTTTCAGTCGTCAAAGTACGGCCCTTTGCTAGCAACGGACAAGTGTCCCCCTGCATGCCCCAATCAAATTGGCGGCCAAGACCAGCAAGATCCCGACTTAGCCAACCAGTCGAGTCAATATCTCCTTATGTCAATTCGAAGGGCGATATCAGCCCTCTTCTCAAAGACGACTCGCTACGATCCCACTTGACTAGCTATTCGATTCTCTGCGAGGTCGACTCGAGAGGTGTTACTTCTCGGCCAAACCAAATGACGACTTCAACCTCGATCCTCTCCCACAAACAATGTGTCAATATCGTATTTAATGCTTGTTAGGCGCCATCATGCCTCTAGCCCTGATAGTCTTCATGACTCATCGGGCCACGTCGGCACCGTCATAGCTCAGATCATTTCACATTTAATGCAAGGGTGACCTCTCCTCCACTCGTCGGCCGATACTCGTAAAGTAAACGTCGAGGCAGCAGCCACACCATGCTAGTTTGCCGCCATTCTGTGCTCGGTAGAAATGATGGTTCTACTCCTTATACCACCACTATAAATAGATATACTATTCTCAACAAGAGATCTTCTTCTTCTTCAGAGAGGATTCTTTTTTAAGCAATTATACTGCACTATACTAAAGAACTCAAGCAGTTCTTCATTTTCCCACTCAAGTTTATTAACTAAATTGATCGTCAGAGGAACCATGGGGGAACCAGTCCCCGTCCTCTCACGAACTATTATTTGTGCAACTTTCAGCCACTTAATTTAGAACCGGATATTTGGGGAAGGAAGCGGCCCCTCATCAACCTCCATATCACATATATTGACTGTTTGAACATTAACATTAACATTAGGCGCCCACCGTGGGGGGCCTTCTTCTTTTTTGAGAAAACATGTCTGATTTTGAAGATAGGGCTGATCAGTCTCACCCTAGAGAGCCGAACCAGAGTTATGTTACTCAAGCTCAGCTTGAAGAAACAGCTCACAAGATTTCTCAATCTCTTCAGCAGCAACTCGCTACTTTCACCAGTGAGCTATTAGTATTATCTTATATTCATAAGGAAAGTGCCAGAATATTATTTGGCACATTGATATAAGGATAACTATGCTTAAGCTTATGCAAGAATGTTGTGCGCAATACAAGGAAGTAAATTTTAGGACCAAAAGAAGAGATGACAAATATTCCTCCAAATATAGCAAAGAGAAAGCATGAGGGACCAAAAAAATGCTTGGAAGGAAGAGGTTTTGAGGTTTTCTTTTTTTTTTTTCTCCATTTGCAAAGTTTTGGATGTAATTGTATATTTGACTCAGAAAAAAAAAACCTAAATATCATCGAATCTAGAAAATAAAAAAAATACAAAACTGGTAAAATGGTTGTGTAAAAAACCAATCTGCCAATTTAGCCTACTTTTATAGGTTGAGGGTCATAATTTTTCTTGGAAACCACCTTGAAAATAGAGTCATCTTACAAAACCATCTTTTATTTTCAATTTATACGTAAATAACTTTTAAAGTGGATTTTTGGTTCATTCAACCACCCCCTAGCCAAATCTTTACAAAAATAAAAAAATAACCTTAAAATGCACGTTTAAGGTACGTGCTTGCATCCTAACCAGATCTAAACAATAACAAAGTGAGTCGCGCATCTTGAATGTATTTTTTAAAAATATTTTTGGATATTCAGTAAAATTTTTGACTAAGAGGTGATTCGTTAGAACAAAACCTCAATTTAAAAAATAATTTACCTACAAATTAAAAATAAAAATGATTTCTAGAAAAACAAACCCTCATAATTTTCTACTTTAAAATCTCTCAATAAAAAGTCTCTTTGGAGACCGAGATTTAGCCTTACAAATCTGTAACTTTTTCCTAA